AATCAGAAGGTCAGTAAGTGGTATGAATAAATTCAAAATAGGCTTATTAGAATACAATATTATTGGGTTCAACTTACTACAAATTTAGTCTTCACAACACGATTTGAAAGATCGACGTGTGCAGTGTTGATGAATCGCGAAAGATACTGCCAAAACTAATCTCTTTTAACTGATCTCGCACAGAAATGGAAACAGGAAGAAAACAGTACGAGTAGGTCAGGTGTGTGTACATGTAAAACACAATCTTCTTAAAAAAGTAAGAACTCGCTCTTGTTGCTGTTTTAACTTCATATTATTTTACAATCAATCTAGGGGCGAGTTATACATAGTCTGAAGAAGTACACTTCCAAAGTATCCTATCACTCCATTTATTATCGCTTGCAAGGACTCTTCTCATCTCATTTCTAAACGAATGAATCAACTTAGCCTTTCTCCTCAGTGGTACCCAACTTTGATAATGAACATATTACCCATTCCATTTTAATCACCTATCGGTTGCTTCTTGAAACTTCCTCCTCTTCCTCCTCTTTCTACTGCCTAAAAACTCTCATTTTTCAATACCTACAATTTATGTTACTCACCACTGCTGAGTAGTATAATTCTTATTTTAACACAATGTTACTTCATTCGCACTTTTAACAATCAACGTCTACTGAAATCATATTTCATCTCTCATTTCACTAGCACTTTATCACACTAACATCTTTCTCATCTCACAAATGTTGTGTAGTGTTTTCTGTTGTATCTCTCTCTTTTCCTGGTCACTTGTTTATCCTGAGCGCTTTGTCCACCCTTGTGAATACACATATTCTTCGAATTTTCAACTAGAATTGCTTCGGACACGGCTCTGCATTTTATTGTATCACCGAACTGCCTGTATAGGTCTTCTGTTGGTGATCAGCGCACAGACATCTCATCATTAGGTGTTCCTAAACTCATAGACACTATTGTGCATTTCAGATTTTGTGCGTCACTTGAGCGTTTTGTTATTTGTGAGAATGGGAACTAATCGTTTGTTTACAAATTTCAGGGAAGAAGCCTGTATTCAAGTTTGTAATTTTTCCCGTAACATTTTCTGCAACGATTACTTAAGGTTAGGGATACAATACCTGTAATCCAAATGTTATTATCAGTTTATTGGAACTGGAGAGCAAAGAAAATGAATTAGATTGATTTTTGGGCTCTGTGATACTCAAATTTGGGAATGTGTATGTTATCCATTCGAAGTTAGTTTCTTTCGGATTGATCTGTTGAGACAGTCATTAGATCTCTTCAATAAATGCTGAAAAAATAATTTCTGACATGTTTTCTACTTCCATCGTGAAACTGATCGAAAGACGATAATAAGTGAATTTTCTGAGAACGCTAACAAGCCCAACTTTCTCATCGTACACTATGAAAATATCATTCGTATATCCTCTCTATTAGTATAACTGATCGATAACTGGCTAAAGTGCTATGTTTTTCTAATCATTCATGAAACAACCTGTCAGAAGTTAACCCATTGGTTACCCCGTTGCATTTTCATTATTTTGTTGATAAAATTCACTTTCGAATTTTAGTTGCGCACCAATAGCTCATCATAAAGTAGTAGGAGAACGTTCCTGTCAGTCCAATATTAAATACGAATTATTCCCTACACCATACATTGCTAAGTTATTGAATGAAATCCTTCAACCAATCAGAATTATTGATCTCATTCCCTTGTTCTATTCCATTTTGTCGACTGCACAACTAACCTCAATGTATTTGGAAAACATATGATCTTTTTAGATATCACGTCACGTTTCATAAATGTCCCAGCTGTAGAGACTATTTGTTCTGTACGTAACTATATGAAAACTAACAGTCTAGAGATTGGTATTCTACCTTATTATCTAAACTAATGAACTTTTAATGTATAATTAAAATTCCTTGACGATTTTATTAATAAAATGATCATTATAGTCACAATACTAATTTACCGGTAATCTAGTAGAATAGATCTCTCCAATGAATTTTGAACTTAAAAGGGCTTCAACATTATCAGTGATTTGAAATCCCTTAATATATGTGGAAAAACAAATCAAGATTTGGTATCTAACCTCCATTTAGTAATGACTTATTATCTTCCGCCCATATTGTTTTGGGTCGCCCATCCTTACAGGTGTTGTGTTTTGGTAAACACCGCTGGTTGTAACAGAAGTTAGAAACGAAGAGAACTAATCTTCAAAGTTATGGATAAATAATTTAGTCTTACGGTTCAGCATCAGATCCTGAAGAAAATCGTGGTTGCACATTATCGAGGAGTCCTGAACAAGTGTGAAATATTTACAAACTGTTCTTTGTTTTTAGTAGTTGTCGAAATGACAGATAAGTTGATGGAGTGGCTTTGGGACCGCCTACGGGTCCAAAATTTATCGACATATTTCTGTCGGAAAGGAAAAATGGTCCTTTAAAGATCAAACTGCCAATATGGAGTTGTTACACAAGAATTATGGTTAAGCTGGTACGTCTCCGGATACATGAGCGTTTACCGGCTTGGTTTTGGAAGGCGAAGTGAAAGTGGTGAAAAGTTCACTCCTAGCACACCAAGTAGACACATAGTATCACAAAAATGCTAATAAAGCTTTCAATGTTATACATCGTATTCCAAAAACAATACCACATGTAGCTCACCAACGTCTGCTCAACGTAGCTGAGGCTGTTGGAATAAGGTTGATCAAACCTGAAGTATGGATTCAGAAAGATCATGTTCAAACGTTATTCCTCCTTTTGTTTTCAGTAAACTTAAGGCCACTGCTGTCTTTGTTATTCGTCATCTTGTCTCCCACTATCACATTATTTATCTGTATATGTCATCATAATACTGACAAACTTAAAAGTGAATGATCGATGTCCCTAAATCTCACTGCATTTCCAAAATGTTTTTTGCCCCTAACTTGGCGCTGTACAAATACAGTTTATAACAATAGCACCTAATTAAGACTTATTGAAAAAAATATTATTCTTTCAGGCTGTTGCTTTTTATTAATGTTATAGGAGTCTTTAGGTGGCTGAAATACTGAAATGTAATAAATAATTTGAAAACATTCAGATATATGCATTTGCTTATCAACAGAATAGCGATCATCTGATAAGTGACTTCATTCAAGATGCCGACTATCGAAGTTTTGATAAGAAACGATAAACACTTAGGTCAGCCAAGTGATCTGTGAAGACAGTAGCCCACAGTTGACTCCGAATAATCTTATTGTCATATCGGCGAATAAATGAAGCTGGAAATCATTTCCAAAATAATTCTAATCTGGTTGCACAAATTTATCTTATTCACCGCCAAAATGTGTTCATGATGTATGAAGTACAAGTAATGAGTTCCCCTTAGACTAACTGATTCGGATTCTTCATATTGCACTCCAAAAGCTCACTTATGAAATATAACTCAATTGTGTTGTGAACTGTAGTCTTCTTAAAACAAATTTTGCTAAGAATCAGCTTTTTGATATCCAGACGCTTTCAAGGTTGTGTAAAGAAACCGTCATCAGGACATACTGAATGTTGCTGAAACTTCTGATGCAAGCATATTTAGGCCTCCATAATATATTTATAAACAGTTCATTCTTAAACTCAGTCTACCTTGGCAACCATTATATTCTTTTAAAAACCGAGAGAGTAATGAAAAAAAGCTTTTATATTAAAATCTTTTCATACAAATTTTTATTATCTGAATTGTTTTACTTCACCTCAACCTATTTTCATCTTCAAATGTTAATACATAGTCAAATTCATTATTTAGGCATTCATATTTCCCAATAAGTACAAAACCGACTCTTCGCCATTTAGTGCTTATAGCTTTATCAAAGTTACAGTAGATAAGCTTAGATATTGTAAATTCTTATTTACTATAACGATAAAATTATTCGCATTAAACAGTGAAACGTCAGCTAAAACGAATTTGTTTTGTTTTACATTCATTGGGAAATATGAATATCAAAATAATGGATATTATTTATCCAATGTCCAAATTTTTTCATACCATCAAATCCCAAAACGCCTTGGCGTTTGAAGTAATGGGTATGAAGTTCGAGTCTCAGTGAGAATAACATCACTTAATCGGGTGCAGGTTCACCCAGCTGACGAGTCCCAAGATGGACAAAACATGAGTCCTGAGTTCCTCATCTAGGCATAATCAAGTAAATCCCAACTTGATTTGGATATCTATAAATATGGTTAGATTGATAGAATTATAACTCACTTACCCATTGAATTCCATTTCCCATTAGATTATACACAGTAAATTGAATTACTTCAATTCATTTCCGGTCATCAGTGTTGTCCACCAATTCCTGCAAATAAGCATGTGTTTCACTTGAAGTAATATAAGGAATGAAGTCTTTTCTAAGTGTGAATAGGTTAATTCTATTTCAAAGTCAGGCTATGTTGTGCACAAAGCTGGATGAAACTTCAAGAAACTAACGTCTTCTCCAAACATCCTTTGACTGCATGTGCTAATCACTTGTTTCAATCGCATATACAAAGACTTACCAGTTCGCATTTATTGCGCCATACAATGCGGCTATTCCAAATACCTATGACTGTCAAAATGATAGTGACTGTTATAGTTATCAAGATTGTGCTTCTTCAAATGTTTCAATAGGACGAAAGATGAATAATACTTTCCTTCGGTGTCCTTACTTCAGTGCAAATATAAATGTGGGTGCAGTTTTAATTAGGTAACGAACGAAACAGGCTTTATACCAGAATTTTTCTTCGCTGACAGACGAACTGACGAGTAGTTTATATGAATAAAAACACAAGTAAACTGAACAGGAACACAAATATGATCACTTACGAATCTTCGTAAGCCATAATTAAGCAGAAAGATAAATATTACAACAGCAAACAAACCACAGTGAACGTATCACGTGTAGACTAAATCTTAAAATAGACACATTTAACTGTGTAGAACTGAAATGTACACTAGAAAAACAAATATAAAGGATAAACAAATTGTGCACAAAGAATATCACAGAAAATTACTGCATGCTGACATATGGCTTTATGAACATTACAAATATTCAGAACGACAGGAAAGAATTTACGTTCTTCACATTTTTCGATAAATTTGTTTTCACCCGCTTTACAAAACCCTATAAGTGTGTCTACATATAAAAGAAAATATAAACTTCATTATAGAACTTATGTCAACCTCAAGATATTAGAATTATTCACTTGCAAATTATTTCATGCGAACAAATCTCTTCAACTAAGTTGTTTTCATGACACATTGATTTAATCACAAAACTCCTCTTAGTATTATGTCAATCTCATGGTGAAACAATGGACTATACTGTTTCTGCGATAATGGAAGTGAAGACATTTTGCTGAATTAAGCCAGAATGTTTGTTCTTCGAATGTAAATCATGTGTGTCTAACTGGTTAGCAGATCGAACAATTAACACGTCTGAAAGTTTCCAACTTCCACCAAAACCGTCACTAGATTTAGACAATTAAATTTGACAAAACTCTGCTAACATCTATTTTGTTCGAAAATGTTGATGATCCGAAGTATACTGACTGCCATTTTGCTTTTATCTATATTAGGTATAATTTTTATGTGGTTGACCAGCGATAAATTGGTCAGTCAATATTCACTGGTAGATTCAGTTTGCGAGAACGTCTACTTCAAGCAGTGTACACGATCTAAAGAATTATGGCTTAAGTGCATCGAAACGTTGGACAGTCTGAGCAAGCGACAGGATCCAAATCTAAGAGAGATGAAGTCAGCATGGCCACCAGCTGCAATCACTGATTTAATTGACAACTACTTCCCGATAATTGATCTTGCTTTACACATTCCGCTTACCAAAGATGCCGAAAACCCACAAAGCAACAAGTACTACCGTCAGTATCTCGACCTTATATCCAATAAAAGTGTTCATCATAATCAACCCACTTGGCTGTCATTTTTTCAGGGTAGAATGACTGGTGTGAACTTCAGTTTATCCAATTATGCATTGTTTCCTCAAACGCTAAATTTCCAAAAGGTTATACATGAAATCAAAAATGGTATACCGTTAAAAACAGTAAGTCATTCAAGTGGATGTCATTCAGAAAATTGTCCACTCTTGTCTTTCTTTCGATCTGATCAGTAGCAAATTAAACACTTCATAACTGGAATGGAAAATTAGGACAGAAATGAGATTAGAATGAATGCGTTTAGTTGGTTTAGGGTTAAGCAATGCAGAGCGTTACTGAAGCCGAACGACTTATCTAGATCACTGTATGTCAGAACTACTTTGCAAAACGTATTTCACAGTCAGCAATGTATCTTAATAAAATAACTGTTTTCTGATCTTTTCTCTGTTTGAAAGCTTGCTAACGATATCTGATAATAATGGTAAAGTATTGGTCCGTCCTTCATGTTGTTTAGGAATAATGGATCACATAGGAATAATTTCTGAGTTGATTTGAAGAATGCCTTTGAAACAGGGCTCGACATCTTTTTCTTCAGAGTTCAGTCCAGTGGATTATATTTGAAGTTAAGATCCATGTAGAGAATCTTTTTAGGAGCAGAAACGGATCTCTATTCACGATATTTGAGCTTTATGTTTATGTTGATAAGACGTGAAAGATTACCACTTTTAGTCAGGATTTTCCTCAGAAGAAGAATTTCATCTTCTGACACACTTAAGTTGCATATTCGCTGGATGCTGATGGCAAGATATATGGTCATATTTCTCTTGGGACTTATGGTCAACAGGCTATAAAAGCATGTTTTAGCGACCATTCTACGGATGCTTCCCATAGACTGTTAACATCTCACCAGTTTTTCATGTCAGCTATACATTTAGAATAGCTTTTGCTAAAATATGCTTTCGATTCTGTTATGTAACATTCTGATTCTGTATAAAACTCTTATCTTCCATGACCTGTGAATTTACATACTGGAGAATTAAATGCATATCGTATACTTTGACTTGTCTGCATTTTTTCTTCGCCTCCATGTAGTAATCAAACACTATAAATTATAAGGCCCTTGATTGGGCGCCTACATATTGCTTCTACATTCATTTACATGTTATTTGCTCGGCGATGGCTAGTGGTGAAAACTAGGGTGTGTATTTTATGCTATCGCTATTCTACATCTGGTTTTACCTTGATCCCAGTTCGTGTCAGTTTTCCCATTTATGTCCGTCAATCCTTTTCAGTGAACTGAACACTGGACAAAGAAAAAGTTTAATCAAAAACATATGGCAATTGTATATGTGACAAAATGCAGTAGCCTGATTAAAAGTGCTCGAAAGAGATGGGAAACCATATTTATTTTAAGTTTGTGGACCACAAGACACTTACTTGACATGCATCTGTGTGAACACTTTGTTTTAGGAAGTGGTAATAATGATGAATCCTCGAAATTTAGGTTGATGCAAACAGTTCCCGTCACTAAAGCTTGTAAGAAGCTTTATTTATGCTCATTTGCCTGGTTTGAAAACACTCTTGTAACCTGTGATTTCAAATTAAAAACACTTTAAGCCAGTGTTTTAGAAGTGATTTCATACTTTACTGAAGTCTCAGGATACCTTGAGGATAAAGACAACCGGTGTAGGGAAATGGATACTGGTTACTAAGATGAAATTTAGGTTCAAGAGTTTCCTATAATAATCAGTCCCTCGAAATCCACACAATTGTTCGGCATGAAATTATTCATTGTGTGACAAATATGTGTACGGTGGCCAAGTATCTGACTAAACTTCAATATTTCGCATATTTCCACTCTGTAAATTTCATCTTCGTTCTTATACTAGTAATAGGGCTTTTGTTCAATCAAACTGGTGGTGTTTGTTTTAACGCTGAGGTTTGAATATACATTTTAGCATCTGTATGTGAGGTGGACAGAGTTGGCTTTACCAAAGGTCACATCACGAGTGTACTGTTGCCTGGACGAAAATTGAAGTGAATGAACAAAACAGTATGACTTTTTGTCTCGTTTCACTAGTCACTCTTAATTTTTATTTTCAGATCCCAATAAATAATCCAGAATTATTTGCATTTCGTTTGCCCAAAAACACTTGCAACTTATGCCATAAAGGAAGTGCACTAGACCTTGTAGTTGTTGTGAAATCCTGTTCATACTGCACAGTGAAACGTTCCCGTGCTCGTGAAACATTTATGCAGAAACATTTATGGATTGGTATGAATGTTCAGTTCGTCTTTGTCTTAGGCATATCTTATCCTGGTGAGACAAACACATTCACCTTCGACGGATATAAACTGCATTCTAAAAATGGTTGGTGGAGGCTATCAAAAATGAACGACAACGAAAAATGGACACTTACTAAACGACTGGTCAAAGAAGCTGATTTATACGAAGATCTTTTGATTGGTTCTTTTCATGATACATACTTCAACTTGACTACAAAGCTCATATTTACTTTGCGTTGGTTATCAGCGTTTTGTCAGGAACAGGCACCACTATTTCTATTCGTTGATGATGACTACGACTTAGTCCCAATGAATGTGATAAAGTTCTACAGAAATCATACAAAGGATTATCTGAGGCAAATGACTGGTGGACATATTCATGGATCACCTGTTGTCGTAAGACCAGGATCAAGAGAAAAACTAAATAGCATATGGACATTGACTTTTGAAGAATTTCCATGGAAAAATTATCCTCCATACTACCATGGATCGATTTACATTTTAGGATCAAGCATAGTAGGACATCTAGCTGTTGCCAGTGCTTTCACGCAATCCATTCGTATTGAAGATGCTTATCTTGGTATACTCTTAAACAAACTAAATATTCCACCTCAGCATCTAAAAGTTACTCCTCTCATGGCTGGAGAATCTGATATATTGTCTGGTGCACTCTGTGTACCCCATTATGTAAGCGAACGCGTAATGAACTGGAAGACAGGTAGATTGAAGTGAAGCGAAAACATTCTGACTACCTGTATTTATTCAGTACATTAATGTTTCACACAAATGCTACTACACTTTCACCTCATATTCTTCATTCACAAAGCCTAAGATTTTTATCGGTCAAATTTACTTCATACCTGACAACCTACTATTTGACAAATATATTGATATTTATTCTCATGTTATGATTGAATTCTACTTGTATGGTTACATTCTGCTATATGTGGTTGATTTATTTGCACAACAACTCATCCGTATTCAGTTACTGAAATTTAATTTACAATGGTTTGGTTCCAGTTGATTCTTGTTGCATTACACGTCCACATGATTGTTTTCTTCCGACGCATGATCAGACGTATTTTTTCGAGTTTGATTGACTGACCAATTTTCCTATCTCTACTTACTGTATAGTAATTTGAAATTACTGATAAGTCATCTTTAAAAATGACACTTACGGGTATTATCCTTTTTTTAAAAATACTTTTGGATATATCAGCTTCTAATGTGTTCATGTCTATGTTGAACATTGAAATGTTTTGAAATATGTCATGGCCTAATAATCAACTTTTTTCTTTCCCTTTTTGATGATACCTCAGAGACCCATTCCTAAGGAATAAATAGTTGTCTGTTATGTCTTGAAAGATATTTGATGCTACTACAGACCCGTTGGCTTTCTAATCATTGCCATCAGTGATAGATAAATCACGAGAAATGATGCATAACACTTAAAGATAAAGAGAACAGTTTTCAGGTATATGAGTTACAGGGTGACTAGGTGAAGATTTCCCGTTGAATGAGTTTATAGTTTGCCTCAACAAAACTCGTATCACAATCCAATAACCATGGATGTCAAGACAAGTCTGTTTAGTAAGAAAAGGTTTTTAGAGAAACATTGCAAACAGAATAACTACTATTTTCTGAACGCAATGAGAAACTGTTGGTAGACAGTGATAGGTTTTAAATCAGTATAATAGAAAAGAAGCCCATGAAAACATTCAGTTGAGCACAAATCACTTCAGCAAATAAACTTTTCAATCTGATGAATTACTTTCAGTATCTGTAAAATCATATTCTTATAAATGATAAACAAGTCAGTTAATTATTGTCTAATAGATCAACATTAAATAATCAAAACAGAATGTTCCGGGAGCAATGGGTGAATCGCTTTTAGAATCCCAAAGAGACTGCATAATCACAAAAACATATGCAATCGATCACACTGATGACTGACAGGTTGAAAGAATAATAGTACTAATCATAATCATTAATAGACGTAAAATATTTTGAGAATTTATTGGGAAGTTTGAACGAACATATACAGGTAGGAAAGTAATTCATGAAGTAAAGACAATAACGATAACCATTTGATAAGGGTAAGGTGAATATTGAGGTGATGAAGAAGATCAAAGAGAGATAATGATCATGACAAAGTTGGAGAATAGATGTACCTCTTCGACATGCAGACCTCTGGGTTTAAATGTTGAAATGCCAACGCCTCTGAAATACAAGAGTGACGAATCCTGACTCATTTCGAGCCACTTGGTTTGACTTTGCATGGCATTTCGAAGGAAGACTGTATGGAAATGATATGACCAGATTTGATCCAGTGGTTCAAGGAAAAATTATTACTTAACCTGAGTTCTGCTCTGAGAAGTCAAGCAAGAGTGTTCGGAAATGCGTCTGGTTAGATTGTGCTTCATATGACCTGCATAACCAGCTCCTCAAGAGCAAACTCGGTGAAGGCATATGTTGGTGTGACACAAGGTGGTAGTTTGTCTTACCAGTCTTCTTGAATCGTCTAAATAAGACTCTTCGCGTTTCGGTAGCATTGACTGTTTTCCTCATTGCTTCACAAAGGAGACTCTTCAGTAGTTCTGCTGAGTTTTACATTTTAGAATCCATATTGATGAATAAGATCATCTTCGGAACAGTAGAAACTGATTCTTGTGACCTTTTTAGCTTCCTGTATCTTGGCATGAATTTTATGCCGGGTTATAGATGGTCTGAAGAAGTACACTTCCAAAGTATCCTATCACTCCATTTATTATCGCTTGCAAGGACTCTTCTCATCTCATTTCTAAACGAATGAATTAACTTAGCCTTTCTCCTCAGTGGTACCCAACTTTGATAATGAACATATTACCCATTCCAATTTAATCACCTATCGGTTGCTTCTTGAAACTTCCTCCTCTTCCTCCTCTTTCTACTGCCTAAAAACTCTCATTTTTCAATACCTACAATTTATGTTACTCACCACTGCTGAGTAGTATAATTCTTATTTTAACACAATGTTACTTCATTCGCACTTTTAACAATCAACGTCTACTGAAATCATATTTCATCTCTCATTTCACTAGCACTTTATCACACTAACATCTTTCTCATCTCACAAATGTTGTGTAGTGTTTTCTGTTGTATCTCTCTCTTTTCCTGGTCACTTGTTTATCCTGAGCGCTTTGTCCACCCTTGTGAATACACATATTCTTCGAATTTTCAACTAGAATTGCTTCGGACACGGCTCTGCATTTTATTGTATCACTGAACTGCCTGTATAGGTCTTCTGTTGGTGATCAGCGCACAGACACCTCATTATTAGGTGTTCCTAAACTCATAGACACTATTGTGCATTTCAGATTTTGTGCGTCACTTGAGCGTTTTGTTATTTGTGAGAATGGGAAGTAATCGATTGTTTACAAATTTCAGGGAAGAAGCCTGTATTCAAGTTTGTAATTTTTCCCGTAAGATTTTTAGCAAAAATTGCGTAGTCATTGATATGAAACTTCGAATACAAGTTTTATTAGAAATCTACTGTAACTGTAAAGCAGTGAGAGCTTCTGATCTTCTGGAATGGCAAAGTTGTTTTTCCACCGTTCATTATCACAAGAATGAAATTCTATTTGGAAAAATAATTTCTTACATCCAATTGTTTTGATAAATGTGTAAAATTCAAAAGCGGTAACGTATATGCCATCTGTTTGCTGAGAATAATGGTAAGTTATAGAGAATTAGGATAACAACCTTGAATTGTTGAAGTTCACACTGTATATCTGAATATCCCTGCAAGCACGTGAGTCAGACAAATATAGGACATAACTGTTGTACAAAATGCAGTTAATTTATTATCTATATATTGGGAGTCTGACCACTGTAACAGGTATGTTTTTATACAGCTTTCAAGTAGTCATGAATACAATGCTGCTCAAATACTGGCTGTTTGATTGTGAACTTTAAAACATTCACTGATTACTACTGTTTATCATATTAATGTTTAATGAGTATTCGTTAGGTGCTTGAAATAATTTTCCAGAAGAAAGCATGACTATATATGCAGTAACCAAGTAATTCGTTTAAACTTCATTTTCATCTGTTCTCATTGGAAACGAATAAAGTTTCACCTATCAAAAAGACTGCTCCTCCTTCCCATACTTTTGTTATTTCTCATGATACGTTGGTATCGTTGAGTACACTTACTGAAGGCAAATAAAGTACTATCTGATGATAGTATCACAATCCTAATTTTTGGATGTTTCTATTTTCCTAGTTTCACATTGTCAGTAATTGAATTAAATTTTAGGACCGATCTTTGAACAGTAAGGTTTCAGCAAGGGATTTCAAAATAGTTTTCAATTTTAAGAGCTATTTACACCGAAAGATTTGGTCGAAAAGTGTTATCGAAAATAAAGAAGACTTGTTATGGCACAAAAAGTATACAATTGCTTCAATTAAAGAAACTCAGAAGTCTGAAGAAGGTAGATCATTGGACTGCAAGCAACAACTATTGTTTTAGCGTTTATAATATTTTGAATAAAAGAAAAATAACACGTTCTATAGGGTACAATGCATGCTGTATATTTTATTGCCTTCTCCTCAGTCACGATAAAACAAAAACCATAATGAAGGATAAGTGCAGAAAAAAATTAATGTCATGATAACTAAGAAGGATGCAACCGATTAATGCCAGATTGAAAACTGCAATTCTCTATTCAATTTAATAACTGTATGAAGAACACAGTAATGTAGTATCATTTACTGAATGAGTGTGCAAGCTCAACTGATTACCCATATAAATGTGAAAACAATCACAACTTCATACACCAAGTATTTGCACTTCTGTCACCTTTTATTTTTTCCAATCAGTAGTAGTGAAATTTTCCACTATTCAGGAATAGATATACCATCGATCATATCCTCCTTATTGGAAGTGGTTCAATGAACAAAGCTTGGTAATCAGTCTTTCGCTTCTTAACGTGTTTACACTAAAAGTTACTCAGAACAATTTCCATTGAGAAAACTAGATTACTATTTCTTTGCTTATTACTGATGAGACAAGAGCTAACAAAATTAAATTTCTGTCCATTTCATTTTTTCTGTAAACAGGCCTCTGGCAAGATTATTCAGAACTCTAAGTTTAGTGAATGAACACCATAAACTGCCTCTTTCTCCTTTGATTTTGTCTACTGCACATAAGGAATAAAATATTTGATTTTCGTTTGTAGACCATCACTGTTGACTTTGGTTGATTTGCTAAACATGGAGCTGAATTATGATACGCAAAGCTGAGCATAGACAAAATCGCATAGAAACTTTCTTTATTTAATTCCTGTCAGCGACTGCAGCCAAACTTTACCACGGTGAGTTCAAATAAACAAAGTTGCATTGCTGTCCGAGCTTGCATTTTTCAGAGTCTTAGACCCGTAATCCCCTCATGAAAATGTCCCTTAATCGAATTATCAGGTCGAATGGTTTTAAAATGTAACACTTACTTTCTTTATGATCTTTCAGATTTAATCAGTGTGTACGCTTAATTAACACCGTGGATCGTGCCATTGGCAAACGTCTATGAGAAACCTGGCTACTGAAGGAGGAAATGTGGGGATCTACATACTTACAAGATACACTTACTTTGGTTAACACGAATAATCATAGGCAACTGAAACTATCTTTACGGGAAATGACCCTCTTCAAAAATGTATAAATAAGATATCTGAATGGTTCAACCTTGACTGTTGACGCCGAAGCATAGAAGTACTTACAGTCAGTAACCAGAGATACCGATTCGAAGCATCAGGTTCTCTGATGCCCCTTCTCAGTCAGATCTTGCACCTCGTAGCACGTGCAGTAGTAAGTAAATTCAATCTCCTACGTATAATCTACATAGACTTTAACAACGAGGATGAAGCGTCCTTAACTGACAATGGAAATATGTACCAGGTTGACTTCGTGATTGGTACCTGTTCATGCACTGTATTCTTTGTGAAAAGAATTCCCTATAGACGTATCATCTCATCGCACTTACGTTTCCCTCAGTTTACAGGTTTATTGTATTCTGTAAGATAGTAACCTCTGGAAAAAATGTATCATTGCAGAAGGTGGTGCTGGGGCGATGTAGCAATCACTGGTATGGTACCGTATGAGACAGACCGTGAAGAGAAGTGATAAAAATTCACCGCAAGATATACAAGGAGAAGTAGTTATAGAGAGACAAAGTAGGGGACGCGGAAACGGCTATTATTATGAGAAGTTCTTCGTAATTTTGAAAAGCCAGCAAAATTTTAATTAACACTGTACTCTTATTAATTCCTAAATATATGGGCTGTTGACACACTAAAGTGTTTTTATTCCAGTTTCCTCGGGAGTAGCTATCAAGTAATTGTGTTAA